AAACTTGATATTGCTAAACATTTGTCAAGCCTTGGCGTTGATGTTATTGAAGCTGGTTTTCCAATAGCTTCACCAGGAGATTTTGAAGCAGTTGCTCGGATAGCAAAAGAAGTCGGTCCATTAATGCAAGGTCGAGAGAGTATTGGAAAACCAGTGGTAAGTTATTATCATTGTTGTGTTTTATTTATTACACTTGATATTATGCTCATATGTTTATGAATAATAATAGATGATCACTGGACTTGCACGTGCAAAAGAAAAGGATATTAAACGATGTTATGATGCAGTATCACAATCACCTTTACATAGAATACATACTTTCCTTGCAACATCTGATATACATTTAAAATATAAATTGAAAATTGATAGAGAAGAATGTATAAAACGTGCATCAGAAGCTGTAAAATATGCAAAAAGTCTTTGTGATGATGTTGAATTTAGTGCCGAAGATGGCGGCAGAAGTGATAAGGATTTTTTATGTAAATTGTTGGGTAAGGTGATCGAATCAGGCGCAACTACCTTAAATATTCCTGATACAGTTGGTTATACTAATCCTGAAGAATATGGCGCTTTAATTAGATATCTGATTGAAAACACTCCTGGTTCAGATAAGGTAAATCTAATTATTAATAATAATAATTATATTTATTTTTTATTTTTTACTATTGATAATTAATTATATATATAGGCAATATGGTCAACACATTGTCATAACGATTTAGGTCTAGCTACTGCTAACACTTTATCAGGAGTCCTTAATGGTGCAAGACAAGTTGAAGTAACTATTAATGGCATTGGTGAACGTGCAGGTATATGTTTATACAATCTGATATATAAGAATAATAAAAATTATCAATTATAACAATCATCTAATTATTAATTCCATACTCCTTTTTGTTAAAAAAAAAGGTAATACTTCACTTGAAGAAATAGCAATGAATATACGAACACATCCAGACTTTTATCCAGTTTATCATTCAATCAACACACAACAAATTTATCGTACATCAATTTTAGTCTCATCTCATTCCGGAATGTTAGTGCAACCCAATAAAGCAATAGTTGGAGCAAATGCATTTCTTCACGAATCTGGAATCCATCAAGATGGTGTTCTCAAAAATAAGTCAACGTATGAAATTATGAAACCGGAAGATGTTGGTGTGTCTGACACGAAGTTAGTGTTGGGTAAATTGTCGGGACGTAATGCTTTTCGATCACGTATCGATGAATTAGGATATGGTGACATGAGTGAAGAGCAAGTTAATAATGCATTTGAACAATTTAAAGCATTAGCTGATTCGAAAAAAAAAGTTACAGAAGATGATCTTTTTGCTTTGTTGTCAGATCAAATTTCCTCAGGAACAGCTCCTGAGTCACATCGATTCAAGTTACAATCTATTCAGGTGGTTTCAGGAACTGCAGAAATGGCAACAGCTACAGTCAAATTGATAGACACATTGACGGGTGATGGTAATAAAGAGTTAATGGATGCAGCTATTGGACGAACTGGGCCAATAATGGCTGTATTTGGTGCTATTCAACGTTTAGTTCAACGAAAAATTAGATTGTTAAATTATGATGTTCGTGCAGTATCAGAAGGTATGGATGCTTTGGGAAAAGTAGTAGTTAAAGTAACTGAAGATGTTGATTCGTCGGGATTAGATGAGACAAAAAATTTAACAACAAAACCAGCGATAGATGGTGTTTTTAAGCCTAAAAATACATATCTAGGTCGTGGAACTGATGTAGACGTGGTCATAGCCAGTGCCAAGGCTTACGTGAATGCTATTAATAGAATGTTTGAGGGAGAACTTGTTTCTGATAAAAGAAGAAGTCATTTGGAAGAAAGAAAAGCAAATCTATAATATAATAATTTTATATCTAGTGAAAAAATATTAAAATTAAATTTTTATTTATATAATTTAAAAGTAATTTACCATCTTAATTACAAGAATAAAAAATGATTTATCAGTTTTATATTATTACTATCCCAAGGCAAGATTGATCTTAGATATATTAATTCACATGATATAACTTTTTACTCGTTGTATTACGCCCTACTGGCACTTGCAACTTCAACTCATCCGTCATATTAATATCATTCCTTATAATCTTTTATATCATTGTATTTCTCAACAAATTCTTGATCTTCCCTGAAAGCTCTCTGTGGTTATTTCACCTAGTGATTCTTGGTATGCTTAAACTTTTGTTCCCTCTTCAAAAAGATTATCATTGAGATATCCGAACAAACTTTTTGACATTTATTAATTAATTTTTGGTTGGTCACGATGCTATATTTCTATACACTCAATTGACAAATTTGGCTTGAAGAGATATACTTGTGAAAATATTTTTTATACATCCTTCAATATAAGATTACTCCTATTAACTTAAGATCCCGGTTTTATATCTTTTATGAAATTAGAAATTCTGATTTTCTAGTTTTCAATCATGAAAGGAATCATTAGAAACATCCTGAGCAGGATTATAAGTTTCGGAAAGAGAATGTTGAAATTCATAATACCACCCAATTTCCTTCTAAACACCAAAATATTGAAACCATTTTTCAGCATCATAACATAGTTTTATTCAATCCAACAGACAAAATTTTGCAAAAAACTGATTTTTTAATTGCCATTTTCACAGTTAGTATCAAAATGGGATTATATGATTCAAAATATCGCATAACACATTTCATTAACGTTGGATTTCTCAAAGAAACAGGCCCTGAACCTCTCCTCATGTGGACATTTTCGAGGCAATTCATCAATCTCATTTGTTACAAGGTCATTGCTGCAACTTTAGTTCTTTGAAATTGTATATAATTTCAACCTGATTCGCTCATCATTACATGTAGGTTGGATAACATTTTCGGTAATTCTGATTCTTTGATAGAGATTATAAACTTTTGTAACTTCTTGCAATTAAATCGTTTTTTGAGAGTGATGATTTATTCTCCAGCAACTTGCTAACATAAGCACAAGCATCAATAAGATGTTCTTCTTTCAAATGTTTTGAAGTAACATTTATGTCATGTTTAGGTTTTCTTTGACCCTATGAAAGATTGCATGCACATTTGTCTGAAAATCATAATGGCGCTATTCCAGTAATTTATTATTTGAATCACGTGATAATTTCTCATAAAGGAAGTGATTTCCCATAAAAAAATAAATCTTCATAATAAGTGGGGAAATCATTTATTAATTATTCAACAAGTATATAAATGACTTGGTTTCATGTATTTCATAGAACAACTTTTGACATATTACCCGAGTTATTCATTAAGCATGAAATATTTGCCCAATTTAATTACATTATTAAGGATACTGGCTGCAACTTTTGATGATGGTTGCTACCATCTTTGCATCATATAAAAATGATTGCAACCACTGGTTGCAACCACCTTTACAACCATTTTGTTTCCTTTTTTGGATTGCGACATGGAACACTATACATTATCAATTATTCTCTCATTCTCCCAAATAATTGGCACAATAACTTCTCTGGATATAATTTTTGCCACAAAGTTATAATTTAGATAACTCCCAAATATTTATTGACTCACCTTAAATAGCATATCACAGTAGTATTATTTCAATTATAACTCTCTTTTGACTTGCAAATACAGAAATCATTACAGTATAGTCATATATATATTTATATCTTCAATTGTCTAATGCATAACATAGTGGAACAAAACTTTTTACTGACATTGTTCTGTCCATGACTGTTGCACTATTCCATACTTTGCCAAATGGATTAATATACACATTTAGTATTTAGTATTGATTTGGTTCTTGTATCATTGAACACAGATATATGTTTATCATACTCACATTGTCTCATCTGCTCAGGCTGATAAAACCATTCTCCCCTATTATGTAAAGAGAAGGTTTCATCTTGTAAGTTTAATCTTTCATGTAATCAGCACCTCCTTGTGAAACATTTCTGACATCACACAATATATGAGAATGTAACATTCTGAAGTTGAATGGTCAACACCAGGTTGGTTGGACTTAAGTATTGCAGCTGCAGCTCATCTAAACAGTTGTCCAAGCAATTAGCTATAAAATGAGTAAAACATAGATTAGATTCCAATAGTATTTTGTCCAGTTTCAAACCTTTCCAAGGATACTATTTGCTTCCAGGTCATCAAAATACCAAACAACACAGACAAGAAATCTTTGAGACAATCATCTTGTGTAGAGTCCATTGTTACTCTGAGTCTTTTGTATACACTTCTGCCATGCAATGATCAGAATAAGTCTGATAACAAATTCACCACAATGACCAGCATCAACAAATCCACATTGAAAAGATGTGAATAACTGAAAAACCTTCAGTGTTGCATTTAAAGGTGGCTTCTCAATTAATTGTGGCATATAAAAATTGAATTGTGATTGCAGTTGCATATGAAAATTGAATTGCAACTAATTGTGATTCTCATCTTTAGTTACATTATTATCCACAAGTCTGAGAGCAGTTTCAGAGAGGATAGGTTCAGATGGATACATTACAAGCGTTTGGTTTCTGTCCTCCTTGATAGAAATACAGGTAGCTATGTAGCTGCTCATGAGCAGATGTGATAAATATGGTTGTGGTGAGATGTCCACAGAAATGAGAGTGATACTGATCATCTGGTTCTGAGTAACTTTGATTAATTACTCTCTCATTGACATTCCAGAATTAATCAATGCATTCCACAAAGCACAACCAAGGAAAAACTTGTCAATTGGTTTCTCTAAAAGTTCACAGGACAATGCATCTATAGTTGAAATGTCAATGAATCATGGAAACAACTTCAAAAGTCTAGAACTAGTTTGCAAAGAAGGGTCACATTCCTGAATTTGTGCAAAATTAGACAGAATGTCCACTGTATCAAGCATAATACACAAAGTATTCCATCTGATGTTTTGTAAAGTATCTTAAACAAGGGTCATATATTTGTCTTGTGGGTTGTTGCAGTAAGAATGTGTCCCTCATCCAAGTAAAACAGCAGCCTAAGTGCTGTTGCATCTGAAGATATTCCAACATTGGTTATCCATGTGAACTTCATTCCAAAATTGTCTCACTTCATTGTAATTCATCTGAATTTTCCAAACTCTAAAAGCCTCATACCATTTTGAATACTGTGACAAAATATCATAACTTTCAAAAATATCTCAAACCAGTTGACATCTTGGACTTGCATTTCCTCAAGAACCTTAGATGCAATGCTTGACCAGGGGAGGATAACCTGTGTTCTCTTGTGATCCACATATACATCTTGTGCAACCTCTGCAATAAGATGGTTTTCCTTCACAGATTTCCATCAGAAATTTTCTGAGCCCAATTCAATCTTTTACCAAATAATTGCTCAGAGATTTTCAATTTCTTCTGAATATTTTTATCACTAGTGAGTTGGTTTGATTTATTTTATTTATTATTTCATCAATTTTTTGATTCATGTCATAGAACTGGTTTTGTAAGTTTTATGATGAAGTAAGGAGTCAAGGACAGGTCCAATTAATAAACTGCAAAAAGTTCACTGTTGAAAGTAAACATTTTTATTAAATTGTTTGTTATAAATATTTTTTTTTGTTATTTGGTTTTTTAAACAAAAATAAAATAGTGTTTAGCAATAACTATTAAAGGATTTGTGATTTGACTAGTTCGATTTTATCCGAGAATTGATGTTGTTTTTATAATGTTCAAACACAAGGCGGACTATGAGTATCATCAAGTGGCTTTACATTGTCTTTGGTACAAATCACAAGACACATGTAACAATTATGACAATCCTGAATGTATAGCATTTATGTAGTTTATTTAATGACTCAAAGATAAGACACTCATTATAAAGTCGTTAAATCATATCGGTGATGACTAAATTTGGGCCTGAAATTTTTATGTGACATAATGTGGTTCGGTTGCATATAATATATTTGGAATTTTTAAAATTAATTTTCTTATTAATATTACAATAATCTATATATAATTAACAAGTTATATTAGCATTCCTACTTTATAATAAAAAATAATTATGTCATTTTTATTCTTCACTTCTTTGTCGTTTTCTCGACGGCAGAGGTAAAGTAATTTCTAAAGAAATAAAGAAAAAAATGATAATTAATAATAATATCATTTCTCGATAAATAAATATTAATTAATCATTACCTTCTTCTTCGATGTCATCATCATCTTCATCATCAAGTTCATCATCATCGTGAGGATCATCCTTATTATAATAACTTACAGGAAAAAATGATAATAATATATATAATCAATATGATTTCTTATAATAAATAATATTATCTATAATGATAATAACTTACTTCCAAGCTTGGGGAAAGAAATCATCTTTTATAATTCCTCCTATCTCCCAATTCATATCATCAATAGAATCTCCAGCTACCCATCTAAAAAAACATTGATCACCGTCATCTTCTTTAGTAAAATCCTAATAATTATTTTAGTATTAATTTATAGTATTATTATTATTACTATTATACATATATATTGAGTAATTTATCTCTCTTTTGATTCATTAGTTACTCGCCTTATCTTTAAACCAATTGATTGTTGTAGACGTTGTAGTTTTTTTTCCATCCTCGTCAATGAAAAATTTCTAAAATTTAACGATATCCGTAATAGATTCAGATCCAGATTCAGATAATAATAATTATTATTAAATGTTTAATGGTTAATTAAATTACCTTTTCAATTTCTTCGTTGCTAAAATAAGGGTTTCCTGAAAATTTGAAAATAATTGAATAGTTTTCTAAATTTTCAGGATCATCTCTTTTGATATTTAAATCAGTAATGTACTGAACAACTTCATAATCATCATATGACAATGATTGAGCTTCGTTATAATAACAACAACAATAATAATAACAACAATGGATATATATTAATTAATAAAAATTATAATTATCATTATCACTATAATAACAATAAATTTACCAATAAGAGAATTTTTGGTCAACTATTAAAGTTTAATAATGCCAATATTTAGTATTCGTTTAATTATAATTTTAATAAACAAAAAAATCATCGTTACTTACAGCTTGCGCCCAAAATTTTGGAATCCTTTCAAAAACTTTTCTTTGTTTTTCATAAATAGGTGTAAAAAGTTTTACTTGTTGTTTGGCTTTTAAAATAATCAAATTAAAAATAAAGAAGGGTTGAATTTAACAACCAGCTAATTGGTTAAAACTTGATAAAATTATTTTTTTTACCGAGCTCAAGTTCTGCCTGATCAATTTCTTGAAATATATCTTTCATATCATTCATAATACTTTCGTCAATTGCGTCTTCACCATTGGTTATTTCGCCTTTAGTAATAGTATTATTTGACATGATTTTAATAAATAAAAATTAAACTAAATGATAATTATAATTGTAATATTTCTTTTTGGTCATTTTCATTTTTCTTGAAATTCGTTTAACATCACAAATTGAAGATCATTTGTGATTCGTGACCCGAGGGAAATTAAATTCACGTGTTCTTTATTTTTGTTATTGATTGTTTGTGTAATCCATCTAAAATACTTTCTTTCTAATGAAATGGAGGATAAAAATTGTCAACAATCAACATTATTAAATAATACCTCACAAAAAACCATTACAAGTTTCATAAAAAAGTCAACTAAAACCAGTAATACTATTCCACCAAATGAAACTAAATTATCTGATTTACTTAAAAAAACAATTTATGATTTTGGTGTAAGAAATTAATTATTATTATTACTATTATTATTTAATAAGGAGAGGACATTTTTGACAAATGTTTTATGTGATTAATATAGGAAATATATAATTCTTTTGAAATTAATGAAAAATTATTGAATGATGATGATGAACAAGTCAACATTTTTATAAAAAATTATCAACTTCAAATACAAGAAGAGGAAAATAAACTTATTAGTCTGATGTCTGGTTTATTGAAAAGATATCATCAAAAGGTGTCATTAAACCTAGTTTTATTTATTTATTACTTTATATATTATTTATCATTTCATATTATTTAGTATTTATTACTTGCATTGATTATATATATTTCAATCAAAGGTTAACAGTATAGTTAAAGAACGTAATCAAAAGCTCAAGAAATCTTTTCCAAAAAAAAAGATTTTTGCTAGTCATAAAGATAGAGAGAATATTCAATCTCCATTATCACAAATAACATCAAAATTAGCTTTACCTCCGACATCGACATCAACATCAACATCAACATCAACATCAACATCAACATCAACATCAGTAAAAGAATCTGTCCCAGCTGCTTCAGTACCAGCTCCAGTTTCAGTTTCAATTTCAACACAAGTAGTTTCAGCCATTTCTGCATCATCTTCAACACCAGCATTAACTTCTAATAATGAAGTTGTTAAAGAGATGCCAAATTATCAACGAATGACAGTTCCTGAATTAAAAGTAGAGTCAATTTATTAATATTTTGTTTTTATTAGTAAAAAATGATTTATAATAATAATATAATTAATCTTTAGTTGGAAGTTGCTAAATATGGAATCAGGCCATCATCTAAAGAAATAATGATTAGACAGCTTGTTCACATTTGGTCAAAATTAAATGTCATCACTGCATCAAACGGATCGTCATCGCCATCAATGGAATAATACTGATAAGGCTAATGAATCTGTCGATAATCTAATACCAGTATTCTTCCACATTCATGACTACATCTGGTGGATCTTTATGCAATGATGGATCTTTTATCCATTTATCGTAAAAATTAAAAGAACTATATATATTTTTTTTTTTTTGATTGAACAGATAAATAAATTCTATAGGAATATATAGAACTATTTATTCATTTATATTATAGAATTGGAATTATCCATTATTGTTTTATAATTTCTGTTTCACTATCAAGTTTCCCTTGACGATGATAAGGTTCCTAATGGGTCGGGACAAGCTGTGGACCGGATTACTTATACCCTGCAAAATTCACGTGAGAAACGTAAAATAAGGATAGGATTATCTGGTCTTGTAAATTTTGCCAAAGAATATTTTCAACTTAAAACATGTTTATATTTATTTACTTGTAAAATTTTGTGACAAAAAGATAGTAAATATCAATCATGTATATGTGTGCTTAATTCGAAAACCATTGGCTCACGTTTGATTTTGGGGTACCTACAAAAAAGCATGCTTTTCAACTCGATAACCTTGATATTAAAGATTTATTTATCATTCAATTGTTCTTTATAATTTTTATTAAATATTTATCAATATTTACCAATCATATTTGTATATGCAAATATGTAAACATGTATATTACAATAAATAATAAACTTATTAAATTTATTAACAAAAAAAAAAAAATAATAAATAAAATCGAAATTTCAAAAGAGAGTATATGCGTGTGCGTGTGCGTGTGCGTGTGTATGTGTAAATAATAAATAACTGTAAATTAAAGCTTCACATCTTTATATAATTCTAAAAATAATAAAAATATAAATAATATAAATATAATATATATTAGTAATAATAATGATAATAATAATTACAGATAAATTAATTAATGAAATAAATAGTCCATAAAATATATAAAAATATTAAATATATCTTCCATCTCTATTCAAAGGTCTAAAAGTGCCACCCAATAAACCTAATCCATTTACAATATATTGAGATTCTGAAATATTTACATCTAAACAATATATAAAATTTAATGTAAATATAATTTTAAATATTTTTATTTTTTTATCAAGTGTAAATTATTATTAAACTTACTTTTTAAAACTGAATATTTAAGAATCTCATCTTTATCCAATACTTTTCCACTTGTAATTTTTAATTCATAATAACTTGGCTCGGGTTCATATTTAAACCTTTTGTCTAAACTCCATCTTAAATCAGGAATCATCATCTTGATATAAGTTTCAATGAATTTAGAGAACATTTCTAATATATAATAACCACTCGATAAATAGGGTTTCATTAATCTATCAATTCGAGGTTCGGAATGTATTGGAATTGATTTTGGTTCTAATTTTATTGTTGGTAGACGATCATAAAATTTAATTGATAAATTTGTCTGATAATTTTGTCTCGCTATATAGTAAGACTCTATTAAATTTGTGACAAATCCATCTAATTTTATTGCTAAGGATTTTGAATCGTCGATATTTGATGGAATCATTTCTTTCTTGGTTGGTATTTGAAAATAATCAAATTCTCTTATCAATTCTTGTCTTGTTACTAATTGACAACAACTACAAGACATGTTTGACGATAAGAATTCGTCATCATTTGGCCAAATAACATCTCCCGTACGATAAAATTCTAGTACATAATGAAACGCTCTGCCATTCCTATCAATAAAGTATTCATTCCCATTTATGGGATGAAGTAATGTTTGATTTCTTCCTTGAAACATTGTTCCTAATAATGTATCGGGATAATTTGTTAGGGTAGAACGGTATGTTTCATACTATTATATGTAATTAATGGATAAAGATTATAAATAGAAAATATTAACAAGATTAATAATATTATTATTGTTGTTGTTTATTAATTATTATAAAATATATTTATACATATTTTCACCTTAATTCCACCAACATTCAATATTATACGTTCACTAGATGGACATTCCGACATTTTCTTTTCTTTATTTTATTAAATATTAAAAAAATGACCTTCTTTTCTAGAAAATTTTTATTTTTACCAAAAATAAAATTAAAAATATCAAAAAAAAATAATTAAGAATGATCCTAAAAAAAAAAATAAGGGAAGAATAAATAAAGGAATTTTTTTTTGATCTTTTTTACCAACTTACTATTTTAGAGAATATTCATATTTACATGGAAGAATATGAATTTTTTTAACAATAATATAATAATAAGGGAAACAAAAACTTCTTTTATTGGAAAGATCATCTAATCAATGGCAGGTAAATTAAGTGATATCATGGTACATCTCGGTTTAGCGGACCTTGGTTTTATGGATTTGGGGTTTAGCGAACCGAATCCACTTATTATTATTATCATCATTAATATGGGGGTGTGTACTGCAACAAAAACGAGACAAAGTGAACATTAATAATAATAATAATAATAATAATATAATCAAACTCGAATTCGGCACACTCGGATATTAGTATTTTGCATAGAAAACAAACAAATAGACAGAACCCCAAATTCCTACGCACATGTGTAATAGGATCATGACATTAATAATCCGTCGATATTACATCTTAATATTCTGCACATAGAACAAACAAACAATGTAACCATTGTTTTTTATTTTTTGGAGCACACACACACAAATATAATGTAGTAGTAATAACTTCTTTAAATTAATTATATAAATGACAGAAAAAATTAATTAATTAATAAAATAACTAAATAATTATCAAATTAAATAAAAATAATTAATTAGATGAAATAATAATTCATCATGGGCCATCAACATCATAATCTTGATAACCATATTAATGGTTATTCAATTATTCCTAATTATTCCGCAATGCACTCTCAATAGTAATTCAGCCAATCGGCCAATATAATGGGATTTCAGACAATAAATATTTAGTTGGTCATGGCTCAATCAGTCCGATGGTTAATTGAAATTCAGTTATTCCAGTAAACATTCCTATATTAAACTCTGTCGACAATAATAATGGCACTGTTGGCCATAATCCAGCCAATAATATGAACACAGTCCATCAGAATTCAATTGATCCAATAGTAAATAATCTTGTCAAACATTAAATATTTCTCGCCAAAACTTTGACGATAATGATTTCTTTGGTGGGTCAGAATTCGAATGTGTGGAACAACAATTTGACAAGATACCAATTGTTAAACTGATAAATAATTATTTCATCATCATTACTAATATTTTATTATTTATTAAATATTGATTTTAAATTGTTGATTTATTGAATAAAAAAGATTGAAAAAAGTCGTGTGTGTCGTGGTCTTTTTCTCATAAAAAAGAGGAAATCATCCTAAAAATTTGATGCAGCTGACACTCTATATAAGGAAGAGTTGGTTTCTTTACTATCCATTATATAGAGAATTTATATTAAAAATCATTATATCGAACTGAATTTATATATAATGAAATTTCCGTAACTTCGTTATATCATACGATTCATTCGTTATATATAACAGGTTCGCTGTATCGAGCGCGAATAGTATACAGTCGAAGCTGATAATATTATAAGATTTATTGAGTTTATGGATAATAATGAAAACCCAAAATTTTTGGACCATATGTTCTAATAAATATTTATGCAAAGTTTAATTTTTCTATTGTTAAATATTTGAACCCAAAATCCAGTACGGTATGATCATAACGCTATGAATACTTTACTAGCAAAAACCTATTGATTTGACGAGCTATCAAATAGTAAAATAGTTTTTTTAGAGGAGCAAATTTTTATCAAAATATAGATTGAGGTTTTGATGAATATCAAGGCTGGGTGCCGAAAGTATTTCAAAAATGATAGAATTATTTAAAACAAATTTTTAAGCATTTTTATTTCGTAGATTATGTTGCTTAATTGGGTACTTGCTTCTTGTTTTAGTAGAAATTATTACTTCATATTCATCATTGGCTTCAAAACTTCTTCAAAACCCGTAGAATCATGTAATAATTGTTGGTTTTCTTCTGGTTGTTGAAATGCTTCTTCATTTATTATTTCTGAAAATAAATCCTCATTCATTGATTATTAAACTAATCCTAATGTATCGTAATCTAATTCATTACTATCATCACTGTAATATTCACTAAAAATGTATGGAAAGTACATGGAATATGCATGGAGTATGTATGGAATTTTTGGAAAATGACCTGAAAAATTATATTCCAGGACAAATATGTATGGAAAAGCACTCTTTTAATGTATAATTCCATGCATATTCCATACAAAATGCACGGAAAATGTATGGAAAAACCATACATTTTCTGAAAAAAAAATTTATAGGGCAGGGCATCCAGGTCCGGTTAGCCTTAGTACCATAGGAAAGCAAGAATATTTGTTTGATACTGAAATAATTTTCAACATCTAGTAAATTTCCAACAATATTGCATATTAATAAAGAGATTTCAAAAGTTAGATATAAACTGGGGTTTGGAGTAAAGTCTACCACCCTATAAAAAATTGCACATAGAAAAGATGCAGGAAAGATTCAGGAAAAGTGAGTTTAACTTCATTATAATTGTTTTCTGGTAAAGATACGGAATCTTCCTGTCAAATGTGCTAAAATTTGCAGAATATGCATGTAATAATAATACATAATGGTACTAGTACAGAATGTGAACGGAAGTTTTGTATGTTATTTTTCACAATAGGGCCATATGCACACAATTTATTTGAATTTAAAAATTTTTTTTTACATTTTTAAAGTCTTTATTGTCATTGTATATGTTAGGATTAGTATTTTTGATTCTATTGTTTTTCCATAATAGTTTTCTAATATAGAACTAACTTGGATGAAAAATTGAATAAATAAAAAAATTATACATTTATACAAATACTTTCTTAAATCTTTATAATCATCATTAACATGAAACCTCATTTATAGTATGATTCTTCTTTGGCAAGATTAACATATTCACCAACATTTCTTCTATTTGACCATTTTAAATCTGTTAAATCAATATTGTAGGAGAATAAAGGATGCAATCCAATATAAACCATTTTTGATATTTCTAAAGAAAAATTCCAAAAGGTTATTATTATAAAACAGAAAACAATTAATTTCATTAAAATTATAAATATAAATATTCTAATAGAAATCTACCTTTAACTGGTTTAAGCTCCTATATGACCATCAATTAACTATCAAAATAAAATTTAGCATTAGAATGTTAATTAATAAATCAACAATAATGATAGAAAAATTTAAAAGAAATACACACCCCTACAAAAAGTATTGACTCACTTGATGATCCATCAAAATAATTGAATAAACGGGTAATACAAATACTCGTTTTTTTACTAAGAAAATCGATGTTGTGTATTAGTAAGAAAATGTTTGTTGGAATGATTACCATAACATTTTAAAATATCACATCGAACCAATTGTTATTGATAATTTTATGATGTTTAAAAGTCAAATTAAAATTTTTCGAAAATTTTTCGAAAAAGTAGCACTTAG